AACCACACAGTGACTAGTATGGGGGTGACTATTATGGGGTTGGCAATAGTCAACCCTAGCAACTGGCTCTTCGCCCATGGTGTACTTCACTTGTAAGGAATTCTTTGCATATATGTGTTCAATGAGCATGTTTAACCTACAGTTTAGTATAAAAAAAACACAACCTTGATGGTTAAAGTAATTGTATGGAATCAATGTAACAAACGGTTGTTGTTACATATATTTGTAAGTAATTTACACCACATAATAAGCACCAGAGATTAATGGAGTGGTCTGATAAATAACAATTTAACAGAACCACTGGACAAGAAATATTATAAAATACATTTAGCAGGCGTAAAGAAGAAAATTATTGCAACTAATGATACATGGAATAAATATGAACCGGTGTGAATACAAGTTTCTCTTTCTCTGTAGCTCATAAAACATCCTGCTTTGAAATCTCATATGTTCTCAAGGTGAATATCGACAAGACAAGGTAGAATCCTAAACTTTAGAACCCTAAACTAATCGGGATTCTATCGAGTGATCGCTAGAATCCAAGGGATCAGGTGCCCTCCAAAAGGCAATTCAGGATCCACCCTGTCGACTGGCATAATTGTATTTGCCGTTAACAAGTAAACTCGCTAGACTATCTGACATGATCCGTCAGTTGATAGAATTTCATCTCTTTAATTTGAGGATTTTTTGAACAAACATGCACATGTAACAGTTCATGTGCATGTAACTGTACAGTTTCAGCTGTACGTGTTCATCTTTACAACCGTGGACGAAAAATACCAGAGAACAAAAGAGAACAATATCGTCCACGTTTCCCAGCGTACGTCCGCGATTGGGGTCGTGTACAAAACCTGTGGGAGTCTTCCTAAAAAGTTAGAGTACAAACAAAAGAGGGACAATATGACATCCAAGATCGACGGTGAACACACGTTTGTGTGGGTAGGTAATGGCCAATATGGTAAAACGACCCTCTGGAGAAGGGCACTTTTTTGACATTTTTCACTCTTACCCTATTTTCAGACAATGGCCACACCTAACATGAAGTGGTTTGGCCCAACCTTTTAAAGGGGTAAGATATTTGCATGGTGTGTATATGACAACCCATTTGTTTTAAGTCCCCCAAAAATAGCCTCATTACCATAAAAAAAATGGTTTTTATGAAGAAGACCTGTATTTCAAGCAGAAAACGTAATTAGTGTACTTTTGACAGCAGAATCATGCAAATTGGTTACCATTCACCTCATATCCCATTTTCAGGCAGATGCCTTATTGCAGTTTTGAGATGCAGGCCTTCAAAAATGAAGAAAAAACTAGAGGTTCACGTTTGTTGTTACAAACGCAGAGTGGTCGGGCAGGCAATCTGTTCATTAAACACTGCCGAGTTGAGTTATGAATATGTTTATGTAAGAAGAAAGAATCAAGAAGTAAATCCTTTCCAGTTCAATCAATTATTTTGTTTCAAAAAATGCATCTTTAACGGTGTGATTAATTTTAGTAAACATTCTCTGTACTCATACAAGTTATTTCTGGCTTGATGATGTCATTATTCAAAAACGCGGGGAAGTGGATACCGATTTAGTTCAGAAAGGATAAATGTTCATTGTGAAACTAAATAACGTATGGAATTATGGAACATATAATTGAATGTATTCATAACACCTGACGTCCGGTTTGATGACGTCACAGTATTTGGAAGCAAAACGAGAACATTGTAAGGGACATCGTTATTTGGGCTACGAAGATATATATAACATGAATCAAATGATAGAATTAAATTTAAAATATTATCGGTTTCAAATTCTCATAGAAGTAACCTCCGGTCCGATGACGTCATGAATTTGGAACCTTGCCAAAGTATCTGTGGCTTATCAAAGAATATCAAGGGGCGATTTGGTAAAATTTGAGCCTATCGTTTTCAAATTTAAAAAAGCAAACACTATTTTGTGTGCCGCTAGGGGGCGCCCTTTCGAATTATGACGTCATCACACTGTTTTTTGCGTCTAACATTCCTCACTGAACACTTTCATAATTTATATGTGTGTAGTAAAAAGCTCCCACTTTTGAGTTATATGACGTTTTTATTGCACTTCCGGTAACACCGGAAGTGAAGGTCAAGCGGTTTTATGTGTGGGTACACGAAATGTTTCTCACGGCATAGTCTACAACATCTTGAAAAACGAACACGATACTCTATTTGATTCAAAAGATATAGCGCAAACAATTTTGTCAAAATTTGCCCTTAAATCGCTAGTAATTTGATACCTGATGACGTCATGATAATGTAACAAAATTTATAACATTTTCGTACCATGGTACAAGTTCACAATATGTTTTATGATCATACCATAAACCGTTCGGAAGAAATTTTGCTTTGTTTTGATTTCAAGCTAACTTCTTCATTTTGAATTCACCTAAATTTGACCTTCCGGTAGCCCCGGAAGGAAAGGTCAAGCGACTTTGACTTTAAAATCAAAAATGTTTATCAAGGTATTGTCCATCAGATCTCAATATATGAACGTGATCGGTCATTTTGTTCATGAGTTATAATTGACGGAAAATTGTCATATTTTGACCAAAGATCGCTTATAATTTGACACCCAATGACGTCATCGTGACGTCAGAGTAATATGAACCACTTAGGATGAGGGTCGATATATATTGAAAAATACCAGTTCATATCATATACCGTTAAGGAGGAAACCTGCGGAGAATTATTGTCCGAAAAAAAGAAAAGAAAGAAAGACCCAAACAAAGAAGATTTATGAGAACAATTCCAGAGAGTGGTCGGGTTGTGCCCGACCACTCAAAAAAGACACAACAGCCTCAAAGCATTGAATTTTGCGTCGGGGTGATATAAATCAAATTAGGTTTTGCCTAGTCTGGTTCCCAGACCAAAAGATTCCGACTATTCCTGATGAATCTTAGGTCAGGTAGCCTCCGGTAATACAATGAATTACAATTTACGTCACGTGACTAAAACGGGAGGAATTCCTCCTTTTTCCGAAAACTTCCGAAGTTTGCCGAAGTCGTTTCGTCGACAATCGGATAGCGCCCGAGTATTTCCGAGTACATAATATAGGTTTAATTAACTGCTAATTGCTTATTAATTTTATTGTAAATGAGTTGATAATTAATATTCATTGTTTTCATTTAGAAAACTTGAAATTCAACGACGATTTTGTGCATCAAATATACTCGGATCGTACGGGCGAACTTTTTGCTGCGTCATGTACAATTTTGAATTTGACGACCGTTACCGAGATTTTCCAAAACTCGGTCTTCATTCGGCTCCGCCTGCTAACAGTGCTATTTGGTTCCGTAATTTTGAAGATTCCAGATCAACATTACTCAATGTTATTACAAAAACATCAAACTGTATTATCATAACTGTATGATATTACGAAGCAAGTGATTTATTTAAAGATTTGATCAGAACATTAAAAGCTACAAGTGATAAAGCGAAATCGGAAACGAAGCCGCGCTTTGAAAGGCCATTAATGTCGTCATGTTTATTTTTAGCCACGGAGGCTGCCTGACCTACAATTTAAGACGTGAGCGTTGGGAATAATTGTCAGGTCTGGGAACCAGACTAGGTTTTGCCCTGCACCGACGTTTAAACACTGTATACTCAGTGTGTTACCTCCTGAGTGAAAGTTGGAAAAAAAACACTCGGGTGATTTTTTCCAACTTTCACTCGGGAGGTAACACACTGAGTATACAGTGTTTAAACGTCGGTGCAGGGCAAAACCTAATTTGATTTAGCCTAAAAGCAGTAAATAAAACAAAAAAGTGGGGGGGGGGGGGGGCACCATATTTTTCAGGGGGGGGGGGTCATGTTTTGCTGAGTGAGTTGTGACAGCTAAAAACTCACAGGTGTATGTTAATAAAATTTCATTCAATCTGAGCAGGTCACAAAATAATTTCTACTGCAGTTGGTTGACGTATGACCTGAAACTAAATTTACAAAGGCCGACACCTGCCCTACAGCAGCACATGCATCGTGCACAGACCTGAAGCTTCATTTGCTTTAGAAGGCATGAGTCTCAGTTCAGCAGAATACGTTATATGCAGTTACAGTGGAACGTCCCTATACCAAACATCATCATTGGTTCCAGGTTTTGTGTACAAAATGTACGGAACATCGTTGTTACAAAAACGTCAACAGATTAAACAAAATCTATGGTTATATTTAACATTATAACACCTCACCCACAGATTCTGTGTCTTGATTGGCCGAGAGCGAGTCACATGTTACTTTCTAATTTTGCTATCTTTCTGTGCACGGTCAAAAGTACTATACCCGTAGCAACCAAAGTACTATACCATTAGCAACCAAAGTACTATTTCCACGGCGCGGTATTTGTGTGCAAATGGATGCTGGTGTGCACGTTGTGCGTTGCGCGCAGCGCGTATTGTTCCAAAGAGAGTGCGCCGCAGACTTGGGTTCAAACATTTCGTGAAGGGGTAGTTTGGAAGAGAGAAATACATTTTCCACCAATTTTGTGTTGAAATTGAAATTTATTTCAACTGTGTTCGAATTTAAATGATTTAAAATATCAAAATCAAGCAGAATCTGTGGGTGAAGTGTATAAAACAAGTATTGAATGCTTTATCTCGTGGTGAAGTAAAACTAGCCTCCCTCGGTGATTCATGGACCATTCACCTCAGGAGGCTAGTTTTACTACACCACTCGAAACATTCAATATTCGTAAACTATTCCGGCCATTTTAAATTAATTCTCAAATGTCAAACAGCCAATGCTGAAGAGTTACAGGTGGCCGTTATTTCCCCAATGGAATACACAGAAAGAAAAAAAATTGTTACAGAAGTTTTGTGACGACTCAAGAGGGCGCTTTTTAAATGAAGACACTATTTCAAATACCAGCGGCTCAAAATCACTATAATGAACGATTGAAAGTACGAACATTTTCTGTGGATTCCGGGATGTTTGTATATAGCGACATTCCAATGCATTGTGGTTAATTCTCATTACTACTCACCCAATCAACAGTCTTATCTGTAGGTTTGCAGCATTCATATGAGTCACACACTTCTGCCTCCAAATCTTGTGCAGCAATTGCGTCTACTCCACTGTTTGATTTAGTACTTGTTCTCAGGTATCCTTGTCTTCGTTTCTTCTTCTTTCTGTTTGTTACTGCATGGCCTCCTAAAGTCAATTATCAAAAGGAAGAGTTACATTTTATCTTACTGATGTGATGACAAATCAGGGGGCTTACGCTGCAACTGATCCTCAAAGTTCTGTTCTGTTTGGTTGCGGTTCGAATTTTTTTCTCAGAACCTTGGTTCGGTTCAGGTTTGGAAGTGCATACATAATGTATAGGCCTACAATGAAAAGTATAACTTTATAGGCCATTCGTCGGTTCGTACAAACATGTGTGTACCACATATAGTCATACGCAATTTCCACATGCTATTGTACAACACAAGTTGAAGGAGGAATCTCATTTTTGTCGTGCAAACAAAATACCTTAATAATTTGAGTTTATGACGTTGAGAAATGAACATCGTAAAGTGCTACATGTTACCTATCCCGGCCCCTATCTCCGGCGAACTATGATGATCAAATTTCCCGCATGTGTTTTCCTGACAAGTTCCATCCTGTCCGAGCATGCCCTGAGCACTAAAAATTTGCTTCGGGGCAATAATTGCTGATTAGGTCCTTTTTGCTTGACCAAACTTATGAAATCGTAATAATTTTTAGCAACAAAGTGACAAGTACCTACCGTAAAAAATCCAACATTTTCAATTTGTGACTTTCATCAAATTCTCATTCTGTGGACGGATCCGTTAATTTTGTAGAGGGGTGCTTCATCCTGTTTTTAGATTACATCATTTTTGTATAATATTTTACGAAAAAAATCACATTGCAACCATTAGCCCTAACAGTCCTGAATCCTCCAATTTCAATATAATTTTGCACACCCCTAGGGAGTTAGGTTGTCCACTGCAATTTTTTCAATTGTAATTTTTCTAGAAATACAAAAGGTAGGCCAAAAAAAAAAAATATTCGGTCTCTGGTCAGCGCGCATGTCGATTTTAATCATGCGCGTCAACCTTTTTTTTTCTTCAAATTAACACGGAAGCAACAACAGCGCCCTCTATTGCCGCACCTACTCAAATTTTTGTACCAAGGAGCACCAAGGAATGGGGAAATTGCACCAAGGCAAATGATAAAGGGCACCAAGGAAAATTATGGAGGACACCAATGTATAGTGAGGACACAAAAAAGCAAAATAGTACCCACCTTGTCTGTACAATTCAAGCTTGAAAAAACAAAAAGGCACCCCAAAAACAAAAAAAAATGCGTCGCCGCATCAATTCTCGAACTTCGGTCTGACCAGAGACCGATTATTTTTTGGGGGGCCTTATTCACTTTTGAATGAGACATCAACCGGAAATAATCGGCCCTTGTTTAGTCATTGAATCATTACGTAGTAATTCTGAACTATTGGCTGCCAGACAATAATTCTGTTCCTACTGTAGTTCAATACTGCTCTCTGGACGGATTTTAGGCAATACATGGGATACGATTGCGCATGCGCAAAACCAGACTTTAAAGAAAACTACATGTCAGTTCCAGTAAAACTACCCATGGCAAAAGTGGCAATGACTAGGCCAAATCCTGAAACAAGTATGCAAAATGGTAGGAGGGCGAGGATGTAATTCCTGAAATCCATCCTGAGAGCAGTATAGAACTACAGTTAAACATCAACTTCCCAAGGTAAGTCTCGTTCAACTCTTCAATTCTATACTGCCCTCTGGCGGATATGGAATTCCATGAGATTTTAAAGCAACTGGATCTGTCCAATGTTATCCTACCACCAAAGAGCATTCAGGCAATATATTTACATATGTTTATCTACAAGTATAATAACACAACCAATATGCAACTGCAATTGAATTTCAAACAATTTATTTCTTGACCAGAAGGTCAAGACAAAACTTTGCTCCATTGTTATGTATGGACAGAATTGTTACAACTGCAATGTATTCGATAACGGTCTTAAAAGCTTCACAAAAGAAACTGTACTTCAACAGAACAGTCTGTTTAACATTCAATAAAACTGCCAAACATGGCAAAACCTCTACCGAAGTAAAAGGGCAAACATTAATTGTGTCCAATGCAACAACTTTTACGCTGCGAAACTGTTTGATCAGTCAGACATGTACAGCCATACTGGTGTACGGGAAAGATTTAACTTGTGGTAGCAGCATGGTGCTATGGGTGTTTATCGTTTTGTTGTAGTACAATAGCGGAAGTCTTCGCACTACTCCAACCTGCAGCTTTGAGGATCTGCTCAAGGCATCCACCTGATGTGATTGCCTTAGATGAGGATGCTGATCGGACACTGTGGGCTTGTATGTAGAAACATCGATCCCCGCCTTTGTCATAGATGTTTTGACCCAATTACTGATTGTTGTGCTGTTACACGCTTATGAGGTTTCATATAGCTAATGAACAATATTGATTCTTCCTTTCTTAGAGTATTGGTCCCTCTATGTATTCGGCCAAAACAATGTAATTACAAAGACCCCTATCAATTGGGTATGCTTTGAACTCGAGTACAGGGCCCAATTTCATAAAGCTGTTTACCGGTAAGCACATTTTTCTGCTTACTATAGCAGAAAAAGAATAGGCTTAACGTAAGCGTATTTTTTATGCTTAGCCCCCAAAAATGTTGCGCGCTCATCATGTAGTCTGCTATTCTATCAAATCTACTTGCGCGTCGTCTGCTAGGCAAATGCGTTAAGAGTCATTTCGTGTAAATACTTCATATAAGTGTTCACGCTCAAAAAATATTTTGCCCGTTGCCATGGTTACGGGCCATTATGGGTTTTGGCAATTTTTGGGAAATTTTGAGGATGCAAAAATTCTTTTTTTTGCGTTATTTTCGAAGGTCATCCAGCCAATCTGCGAAGTACCGGGTAATGTCACAAAAGTAACTATATTATGACAAAGTATCAGCCTTACCCTTACAAGAAAAAAATAGAAACACTTCTAAAAAATCTCCTTTATATTATTTTTAGGCCCTAATACAGCATAATTTTACAACCAGCAAAATTGCATTTTTACCCCATTTTTATCCCTCCAAAATGGCACTTGCCAGGGCACTCAGAATAATTTCCCTTCGGCTACGGTTAGTTCAGATATTGGTTCAAGTTTGGGTTATTGTATATATCCTTTGTGCAGTAGCGCTCCAAACATGGTAAATTTCACAAAAACCTTAAAAAGTGTATTTTCAGTGTTTTCCTTTGTTTTGAGTAATAACTTGTATAATTGGTATTGTTCATGAACCTGGCACATTTTCACAAACAGAATCAGACTGTGTATCATTTTTAGACCAGTGGATGAAGAGTAGGTCGTGTACTCCCCCCACACCTGGCTAGGCCCCGCCCACTCCCCCTGTGCCACCGAAATTTGAATTTGTATGTTGCATAACGAAACAAATGTAAATAAATAATATGCAAGTGAACACTTTAGAAATTACATAGACTTCCTTTTCACAGCCCCCCTTCCCCCACCCCGGGGGCATTGCTTGGGGTTGAGGGTGGGGTGTGACCACCCACCAATAACTTGGCTTTGTCGGTAAAATCATTGTCACATGGGCAAAAACTCATGTGTTTGCAAGCCGCAATGAATAATAATGGTCATATCCATTGTCCTCTGATTGAAGTGCACCATTATTCAAACTTTAAGTATAATTTTTCAAGTGAATATATCTCAGACCCTAATCACACTGGAGGTGGAATGAGCCGGAATGTCGTCGGAATGAAAATTCTTTGTATATTCCTGGATGTTCGAAGTGCATTTTAAAACTTCTGACTGCATTCTGAGTGCATTCCAAATATTCGGGCCCATTCTTGTGGCCGGCCCGAATGTTTTGCTCATGCTCAAAACTTTCGAGGTGCATTCGAAGTGGAGAAATATCGAACGGCAATCGAAGTGTATTCTAACTGCACTCTGACTGCATTCTAAATATTCTTACGGCATTCAAACAGCATTCGAAACATTCTGATTGAATTCGAGGGAGAATCGAAAGGCCAAGTCACTTCAAATCCTGCCAGGATGTCCCGAATGCGCCTCGAATGAGCCGGAATGCACCTCGAATGCATCTCTGTTTGAATTCTTGGACATTCCAACCATATTCAGTGGCCATTCCGGGAGCGTCCTGACTGCATTCGAGGTGAATTCGTACAGCATTTGAGGCATCCAACCAGACTTCGAGCGGTATTCGGGCAGCAATCGAAGTGCATTCTAATTATTCTGACAGCATTCTAACAGCATTCTAAGTATTCCTACTGTGTTCCAACTACATTCGAGCTGCATTCGAGAGCTAATACACCCGGAATGCGCAAGAATCATTTGAGACGGGTTCGAAACGCATTCCAAGTATTCGAACGGCATTCTTACAAAGCTTGGTCAATTTGAAATTCCCTCCTGAATGTGGCACGAATTTTGATTTTTGTTTTCATTCCGGCTGGTTCTGCTTGATTCCTGCTGATTCCAAATAAGAGTGACGGGGGTCTCACATGGGTCACACTTTGCTTTCAAAAAGCAGCTTGAGTAACCTGAAACATTTTTCTGTTAACTAAAAATGTTAACACTTTTTGGACCTTTAAATGGATACAAATGCTAAAATTTGCATGAGACTGGGATGGCTGAATCATGTCCAGTATCTGTTTTTTCCCCATCTGAACACCATCTTTACTGTTGAATGTCCTCCTTAAATCCAAAGTCCCCTGATATCTCGATGATTTGAACCTTGATTGTTTTAACTAGTAGTCAGGATAGTTACAGATCCTCATTCATGTCCTCATCTTCACTGTATGAGCCTTCAGTTGAGAGTGCAGGAGGGTAGCTAATAACCCGGTGCGGTTTCTTGGTGAGCCGTTAGCCCTGTTCCTTCTCCTGTCAGTTTTGTATACTTTCATGGCGCACATGAAAGCCCATTTGGCAGACAGGTGAATTGAAACAAGGAATCTCTCCAAAAGAATCGAGGAAATTTCCTAATATCTTAGTGCACTGGAACACAATAGTACGCATCTTTTAAATCTATTGATGCCAAGAAGCACCCTTCAGAAACCAACTTTAGTGCCATATCAAATGTCTCCATCTTAAAATGGTGTTTACTCAACATGGTAGTT